AAACTATCTTAATAGTAAATGTATATTTGCCGTAATGTGAACGTTGTAATTTGGGATATTACGTATGCGTTCCCAACCTAGAACACAAGGTCCTCTATACAGCTGGAGCTGCTTAGACTATTTGTAGTTTCTGTTGTTGAATGAATAATTAAAAAAATTACACTCATTACTATATAAATAAACCATAGATATACAGACATGAATAATTCACTGAAAGTTAAAACAGAGCGCATTTAATAGATTTTGCACTCATTTCTAATTATCTAATAACATTAGTGGTCAAACGTGCTAAAATATAATAGTTTTATAAAAATATAATATTCAGACACGGAGTTTCATATGTTTAGTAGGTAAGTAGATATTCGTAGGTATAAGTAAAGTACTTATGTCTTGTCCAATGATAACTTTTTTTATTTTAACTAGAGACAATTTCAAATATACTTTTTGTATTCGGAATTTTAAGCATCTCTTCATATACTTCAATGTTTATGGTTTAAAAATATTTACCTATAAAGTTATAGATGTATCACACTATAATACAATATAGTTATGTTACATTTCTATTATTGTAAAGTGAAAGAATTCAATGGAAATGTTCAGTTATATTTCATTTCATTTTCTCATAATGCTAAACAAAGCACTTTAATGTTATCTCATTGTTCATAACAAAATGCCCTTTACCACATATGAAACTTCGCCGCTTTTCTCATTTTTATGCTTTTGGCGAAAGTATAAAGATATTTGTCATTAAGGGTTGTGAATATATGGTTAATATCCGTGGAAAATAGGAATTATGATTACAGTATAATATGCGATGTTTACTGTTATATTTTTTATATATGTAAACGTATAGTATTTTTTTTTAATTGGATGAAAATGGAATGGTAATCCCGCCTGCGCCAACGGGATACGCTGGCGGGGCACCAGTGAATGGTGATCGATGAGGATGAAAACAGGCCAGTTAGCCCATCATGATGTATTCATCTGGAATTAATCATGATAGTTTCCAGGGGGAACCGCGAGGAGGTCGACCTGGTTGGGTATATTGCTAGCAATGGGATTACGTATAGTATTTATACATATATTTAAGAGTTTCAATATAATTTATAAATAGATACGTACTAGATATAGCAATGATAATGTAATTTTTGTAATCCTAATTAAAATAAAAACATTTTAGTTATCTTACTTAACATAATATTACTAATAGAATTGTAAAATATTGTATATATTAGTAACTCGAAATAGACAGGGGGGAAAGGAATTGTTAGTGATGGAGACTAAGATTCCCATTGCTAGTAATATACCCAGCCAGGTCGACTTCCTCGCGGTTCCCCCTGGAAACTATCATGGTTAATTCCTTGTGAATTCGTCATGATGGGCCAACTGGCCTGTTTTCACTCTCATCGATCACCCTTCACTGGTGCCCCATCAGCGTATCCCGTTAGCGCAGGCGGGGTTACCATACCATTTACACCCATCAAAAAAAAAAACTCGAAATAGACACTTCAAGATAGAGGTAATTTTTATATTCATAGTTTTAGCGTGTTTATTATTAACACGAGTATATTTATGTTGCTAGTTGAATAACGTATAATCAGTTCTACTAGCAAGTACATATATTGTGACATACTTACAAATGTAAATGAGGTGAATAGGTTCTTTATTGTAAACAGTCACACAAAATATTCCGCATTATATAGAGACGTTAAGTATATATTTAATTGACTATAATAGGGGTATATTCGTGGATATATGTACTACGTTATTTATTTATATTCATAATTATTATATCCCTAAGAATAATAAGTTTAACTATTTGCACCGTTATTTGAATCACATATTCATCATTATATTTATTAGTATATGTAAAATATCAATAAATATAAATGAAATAGAAAGATCTATTGTAAGACAATAATACAAAATTAAATTATATATTTTATGTACAGTGACAGTAAACAGAGATATTATAAATTTCAATAAGTTGATTTACATAATGTTTTACAATGAGACTGAATAATATAATTGTTTGAACAAGTTAAACTCTCGTTTTATTATATGAACAATGGATGATTGTTGAATAAACCTTCGTCAGTGATGATGTTCTCTGGTTCACTTCCGATCCCGGTCATGGTGAGCAAATAAGAGATTAAATCTTCATTTAAAATAATGCTAACTACTAAGTATTCTCCCGAAGATTAAACATATTTTTTTACACTTTTTGATTAAACTTTCTATTATAAAATTATCTATATATTTTTTAACAACAACAATTTGTTTGTTTAAAAATAATCACTATAAATATTATATACTGTTTTAACTTGGACATAGAGAATAAAAGTTAAAGAAACTGCAAAAGAAGTATACAATTAAAAATAAAAAAAAAACAACTATTCGTACAACAGAAAAATACAATAGAATAGAATTTAATTATTAGTTTGCTGTATAATTTAGATGCAGAAAACTAAATAAATATAAACCCATGAATGTGATGTTAAATGGATTATTATATAAATATTATATAATTTTGTTTTATTATTTTAGCTGTTAAGTGTCCACTGCTGAACATAAGCCTTCCCGATAAGGGGAGTTTTGCCAGTAGTTTCCATGCTTAGCAGGCGGGTTGGCAAGCGCAGTTAGGCTTTTAGAGTTGTTTTAAGAGGGACACTGGTGCCCATCTTCGTCCTCTCTTAGTCGTCTCTTACGACACCCATGGGAAAGAAAGTGGTAGCTCATTGTACGCCTGGGCACACATGGCGGATTATAGAAATATGGGCTAATATTCTATTCGCTCATATTTCGCCGAACATATGAGTATTCGAATCCATCCAAAGTCGTTAGACATAAACTAAAAATTTTATAGCAGAGAAAGTTAAGCAGGTGAATATACCACTTACTTGTAAGCAAGTAATAACTTGAAAGACATAAAATGATGTGATTGACGGTATTTTATCGTATATCTTGATTCTTTATTGGTAATCAACGATGCGTTATGAATTCGTGAAACTTCATTAGAGTTTCATCGCAGCCATTCTAACTATATTTTCATTTTACTCTAGTATCTCATTAATTTATACATGTAATATGATACTGTTTGAACCATTTAACATGCATTTTTTATATGGTTGCAAAATATATTTTTTTTTAATATTTACATTGTATCACTAAATATGGTATTAATTTCCTTTCAATTATTGTCGGATTAGTATACCAGCGTGTACAGGAAATATTAAAAAACATAATTTGTATAGCTAAACTGTATCAAAATGTTATTTACTGTAAGAATTAAAAATAATAACTTAAATTAATTGTTTCGCATTATAATATGATGAAAATATCAATGAAATCAATTCTCTTAGGAGAAATTTGGAAATAGAAAATACTTTGTGTATCTTCCCAGTTGAAAATGTTAATAATAAATGTGACAATAGGTTTACTGTAAAAAAATATTTGCTTCAATATTATTTTTGAACAGATTCATCTGTTGATGTTAGTCTGTTTGACAGGATTCTAATTTACTCTCTGTTTACAACATCGCTAACTTGGTCATTGTACGATAAAAAACACCTTGCTACGTGGAATTGTCAGTTGTACATAATCAATTTATTTCCTAACTTTTAAAATAGATAATATTATGAAATTACTTTTTCAAATTTGGTAATGGAAAAGAAATCCCTAAATAAGGCATTCAGTTATCAGTTCATCTACGTAAAATTTTCTTTGTCATTGTCGAAGGGTTTAGTAATGTAAAGGAACTAGGAATGTAAATAAATGCTTAACTGTTAATGTACCGGCAAATATTCCATATGGATCGCCATATGGAAAATAGCTTGAGTTTTATTGTATTTATGATCGTGATGAAACCGCGCCCGACCTCGGCAGCTACAATTGCACCAATGAGAGGACGTCGGGACCAGTCATCGCAATTTAAATCATTAGAGCGCCTCTAAGCCATTATAAATGAGCGTTGACTGTGAGCCCACTCCGAATATTGTTAACAAAGTTTCAGAACAACTATATAAAAACTCGAATTAGGAAAAAATATTTTTAATCAATTGTAAATATGAAAGGGAACAACTGTACTTATTTGTTATCAGAATTAAATGAAAACCTGATTTTTATGACTTTATAAAGTTTTTCAAATGATGTATGGACTGGGTTTCGTGTAGTAAAGAATGTTATTTTTGTCAAAAATTTTATCTTTCAAATAAATTTAAAGATTTAGACTAAGTAAACACTTTTGGAATGGTCCAATTACATATTGCAAGATTAATATTTTTTTCATTGCCAATAAACAATAGGCACGTAGGTATGAGGAAGCGAAAAGGAAGACCCAGTAATCGTTGTTTCCTTACTTATACGACTATGAACATATACATGTTATAAAATATATATAGGTACTTTGTATTTTGGAAACTACTGAATATACGAAATATATTTTGACGTTTATTTAATACTAGTCCGGTTACGCACGGTATAGATAGAAATTTAACAACAAACGGTTTGATTTATTGATCTAGATTTATGAGACAACCCATTTTGATCATACAATTATGAGTTAAGTTTGTTTGATAAAAAAATTATATATACGTATATGTATTTGTGTTGAATACATATACGTAAATTGAATTTTTATATTTTGTATAAGGTGATTCAATTTTCTTTTTCAATTGATTACATAGTTTATTTCCTAAAAACATTAGATCGCTCTAGTATTTATTCAATGGTTGTTATCCAAATAAGAAGTACTGCGATGATCATACTTAGATAATTATCTATTAATCGCTGCTATTTTGTTATGATACAAATTCCAATTAATTAAATAGGTAGGTACGATAGACAGACTCTAACGAATGAATGGGAGACTAATAAGTATTGGATTCTTTCAAAGTTTAGTAAAGCATTGTTACATGAGGTTAGGTGATATTTAAGGTACTTTATAAAAAAAAATGAAAAGAAAGTGGGTATTTTATAAATTTGTTTTATGACGTATTTACCATTCGGGCGTAAATCAGTGTAAGTCTTGATCCGCATTTTCTTTTCTCAATGTATCCTTTTTGATTGTCCGATAGAATGTTGACACTATATTATACCAGGTATCTTCATCACTTTACACTTCAACACTTCTGAGGGTAAACATCTCACATTCTGCGTCTTCGATAGATTAAATCAAATCATACCAGTCAGAAAGGATACAAGTTACTAAGAAAATATTATTAACAACCACTTTTCACATTGTTTTTGCACGTGACAAAACACAAGTAAAGACACTGCAAAGCAAATAAAACATATTTATAATATTTAGAATTAAAATCGACGTGCTATAGCCGCGAATCGCTTGATTTGACAGCTGCAAGCGTGCTATCCCAAATTCCCGATCCAAATATTGTACGGTGAATGAGCGCGCTTGTGCAAGAGGGATGCCAATAACAGTGAAGTGAGTTGTAGTTGTGGGGATTGGGGAACGTATCGGGAACGAGATGGGACACAAATAGAACTGGATTAATTGGATTATACTACGACCGCAATATATAAAAATTTTGATCCGTAGCTAAAATAAATGGGCAAGTAGAATCTACGAATTGTACTCGGCAATGTATTGCAAAATTTATTATGCTTTCCGTATTCGCAATGACTAATGGCTAACTAAATTGCAGCTATTAAAAAAGAAATCAAAGTATACATTTATATAGAACAGAGAGATTTGGTTATTGCTTATTGTCAAATCAAGCTATTCGATGTATTTTCTATGCTTATAGTGTATGATTGAAATATAGTATAAAATTAAACAAAAATAAAACTGACGTTGTTAATCGGATCACGACTACAGCACCGCCGTATAAACGTCAAACGCGCAGGCGCAACGCGTGTAACTGACGTACGCGTGCGCGCAAACTTCACTCCAATAGAGACTTTCGCGATTTCATGTATCGGTAACATTATTCCATGGAAGGGTGCATAATAAATTTAAAAAAAACTTGCCTTAGAATAATTGAGATTTTGTTTGATTTATAAAAAAGTAATCCTAATAATATTATAAGTGTAAAACTTCATTAATAATTTTGTTTATGTTTGTTATCAATGACCTTTAAAGAGCTAAACAGAATTATATGAATATTGATAAATAAATTACCCATATTTACAATTGTACCCATAATCAAGTGCGGACAAAGTCTTGGAATGCAGATAGTATTAGGGTAATATTAAGTGTAAGTTTTTTAATATTACAAATGTGAAAGTTTGTTATGGTGGATGGAAGGATAGATGTTTGTTACTATTTCATGCAAAAACTACTTAACGGATTTTAATGAAATTTGGTACAAGGGATATTTAGTATACTAACTCACGCCGATGAAGACGCGGGGTACAACTACTTATAAATAAAATTGGGAACGATTACACTTATATGCCTATTTTTAAGCACTTCACTGAGAACTTTATATACATACTAAAATTATTTGCAGAATAATATTAATAAAAATAATTACAATCTATATTTTTATGATATATCAAAATAAGTAATACGGTTTAGTTCCAGTTTTAAAAATTACTCTTTTTCGTTCACCAACAATTTAGCTCCTCAGGGAATGGTATTCCAAATATACTGAAATATGTGGTTCTTAAGTTGAATTTTATGTTCGTTTATCCGATCGTATTTTCAGTATCCAAGTAAAGCATCTTTGAAATAAAAGAGTGAATGTTAAAAATTTTAAAAGCGATAAAATTTCAAAAATCCTTTCTTTTGTCTCTCGTATACAAAGAATTTTGTTATTTTGTAGATTCTCTACACAATAAATAAATTCTTTTTCATTTCGACATTGTAATGTCTAAGAATCTTTTATGATTAAGATATTCAGAAATATAATAATTAAAAATTTACAAGGTCATTAAAATAGATATAATTAAAGACCATACCTATTAACCAAATGAACGTAACTATTATATCATAAACAAATTCTTATATTAATATTATTTTACAATTATTATTTCATAATATAAGTTCAACATGTTGAATTTAACATACATTGTTATAACAACATCTATAAATCTTTTTTATGCATTTTGTAAGTTTTTTGATTTCAAACTATATGTTACCTATGATTTCATTAAATTTTGATTACATCTTTTACAAAACTTTCGAAATTATTATACTTCAGAAATTCTATTCATAGAGATATGTTATTACAATGTCTTTCTTAGAGAGGTTTATAAAGACTGCATGCAGAGTAAAAAGAGTTGTAACGGTATGTTTGCCAAATCAGTCATATGATGTTAACGCTAAGTGAATGACCCCAACATTCACGATGCGAATTTGGAACAAGATGTTTTAAATCCTTTGCAAAAGTATTCTTTCTTCTTGAGTGTGTTTATGTAATGTTAACTTTTTCTTACATGTGTCTTTTATTTTTATTATGTTCTTATACTTATTATAGATACCTAATATTAAACGACGTTGTACTAATCATTAAGTATAAAATAAGTTTCACCAAATCTGTCTATTTAGATCTCCTATACTTACTTTTAATAAATTCACATGTTTGCTGCTGTGTTATTTGTTTAATCCAACTTACATATTTTATTTATTAATTATTAAATGTTTACTTTTATGTATCAGTATATTGTATAAAATGAAAAAAATCTAAGATACCAGCGCCACCTAGTGTACTGTATTAGTAATGATTCAATAAATCTATAAATATATCCACTGATTGTGTTCGTGCTTCACTTATTTAGGTATCGTTGGTAGGTTAGTATATAGATGTCGCTTTAGGCATTTTATTAATATAGTGAATAGATTAATGCCTATTACAAAATACATATATCACGATAGGATGATCATGTTTATCGACCTTGATAAGCTTCAGAAGTAAAGGTCGGAAGAAATCAGATAATGTTCTAGATTATAATAGACGATTTAATTATCTTTTAAGAAATACGTAATAATAATACGTTATTAACTTATTTATTAGATAAATAGTCTACAAAATCTTTGCATACACTATCATAATAATTATGTCAATTGATTAAATAACACAAGTATTTATTATCACAAACGATTACCTGTTGTAATAATAAATATCTGTGGTGGTTTATTCATTTTACGAAAAAATAATATCTAGGAACGACAATCTCCAACATCAAAACAATAGGTATTCAGGAAACAACTACGTACAAAATCAATTAAATCGGTAACGTAAGCAGTAGTAAATATAATACATCACTGATTTTCATTTATTTTTATATCGTCTGTTTTATAATAATCTACGTCATTCTTCTATAAAGTTTTTATCATTACTTTTATTTACCTTTATGCCGCTGAAGTTGCTTTTTATGTCTTCTACGTCTTTTCTTGCGTTTTATTTTATTATCAGTTATAACTTCAGTTATTTGTAATCGTTCTTCTGAATACGCACTTCTTGCAAGGTCTAAAATTTTCCCAAAAATACACAACACAAGAGCAATCATTTTTGTGAATGATATATTTCAAAATCCTTTATCAATGTCAATATAATAGTTTTATCTTAAAACACTTAAACACGACCTTTTCTTTCTCCTTCTTATGTTGAGATTTAGAACCAGTTTTTTGACTTTGCGTTTTCTATTTTTATTAGTAAGTGCGATTTTGTTTATCTTTGCGTTCACTGTTAAGGTCCACATAACCTCGACCGTCAATATTTTAATAGATACTGCACTTCTATAAATAATTATTCCGAAAATACTCTGTAAATTTATCTTTCGCACGAGAATTAATAAAGACTTTATCAATAGGTTATCACTGACGCGAGCTGTGGAGAGGCGAACATGACTGCGCGTACATCATGAACTAACGCTACGGGAGCCTTCGTGTGTTTTCTAAATATGGTTAAAAATAAACATCATATGCAGCAAATAAATTTTAAACAGATGTTGCTTAATAATATTTTCATTGATTCTAGCAATCGTCGAACCTATTATGTAAGTTGTAACTTATACATTCTACGTCAAAGTTGTTTACCTAAATGCAGCATATAATAAATATAGCTAAATACAGTCTGTTAACTAGTAACAATTTATTTTACTTTTATTTTTTTATGATAAATATTTAAAAAATAAATTTATTTATGCAGTAATTATTTAATATGACGTGCTAAAGAAGGGTCAAATAAAAAATATCCCTAACCGGCAAGCATGTATGAAAAGATTGATTAATGTAGAGGGACCAAAAGCGGCCTGTTTGAGTCGAAGCATTTGGCATTCTATTGTTCCTGCCTACCCTAATGGAAGATAAGCGAGACAGACATGTACAGATATATATGTAAGAATATATATTATTTGACATCTTCAGTAATTTCTACAGAACGTAAGATTATTAAGTAATAACCACTAATAATACATTTATTTCAGTTAATTTATAAAGAATTATCAAAGTCAACGAACTTACAAACATTATAATAGAAGATAAGGCGGAAGAAAGGGGGAGACCAATACATAGTTACATCAGGAAGATCAAGGAAAAAGTCGATGCTATGTCGTATCAAGAGGTGAAGAGTCGCTGAAAATCGTAGTGAGTGGCAAGAGCGCCACCAACAAAAGCACAGCTCTTAAATAGATTATTTCTTTTTAATGAATGATAATGGAATGGTAACCCCGCCTGTGCTATCTGTATACATTGGCGGGGTACCAGTGAGAGATGATAGGTGAGAATGAAAAAGCAGGTCAATTAGCCCATCGTGATGAATTAACTTGGAATTCAGCACGATGGTTTCCAGGGAGGACTACGTGGAGGTAGACTTTTTTGGGCATATTACTAACAATGAAACTGGTAGTCCGCATTATTAACAAACCCCTCTTAAATAGGACAGATAGATAGATATCAATGTCGATCTAATAATGAAATTAATGCAAAATATGCAAAGATCACTTCATACCTAGATATCAAAAAGGTCAAAAAGAATCACTGCGAAAGATCTCGAATAATTTTACTTTAAAGTTGTGTCTGAAGATTAAGTAATTTAATTACAGTAATTTTAATTATAATAATTACTAAGTTAATAAATAGAACATTTATATTTTTTAAAGAAATGAAGAAATCGTTTGTAACTTGCAATCGAAGAAACACTCTTCAATTCTTCGTTTAATACCTAGAAACTTGCACTTTCCATTTACGTATAAAGGGTATCTTGGGCGACACAGTATACTCTATTATGTCTTTGGTACTCTTTATATTTACCTATAAGCGATGGTAACCACTCCATCAGGTGGGTTATCAACTTGTTTGCCATTTTAAGTTGCATAAAAAAATATCTTTATATAATAGTTTAGCTACCTCGTCCAGCTATTAAATAACGAATAATTAGTGTAAGTACAGGTGTGCGCGTTGTTATTCACAATATAGGTAAATAGATACGATACTCGTGTGTCAATGTCAAAGCAAAAGGCATACGTATATAGATTATATGTGTGAATACATAGATCAATAAGTCTTTGTTAACAAGCAAGTATAATAATTGTTTTATAAGAGACGGGAATAAACGCGATCTTTTAATTAAACTATGATGATTTACCTAAATTATAACAACGTTTCGATCTGGTTACAGATTCCAAAAGTTATTATAAGTTTAATAATTATCTATTTATTAAACAATTTGCATTTTAATGATTGTTATTTTGTGATATTAAAAATTTAATAACATACAAACTGAAATCTCACTGAAAGACTGACTAAAATTGAAAGAGGACAGATCGTGCATCCAACATCATACTTCGCCCCCAAACTGACTTTCAAGACGTAGGTCATAAGTCGGCCAAACTTAGGTGGGATTGGGTGGGTTACATTAACCGTATAGTTAGATAGATAGATAGATAATTTATTTTCATTACTTACAGCATATTCGTTCTCGATAAGTAGACAAAGATCTCCACCCGGTGGGTACCTACTGATGAACGGCATTGCTGAAGCCGGCCAAGGAAGCGATTTTATTTTAATTTACATTAAAACTGGACTAGCTGAGATGACGCTGAACTGGAAGTTTTGGTAGGAAATGGGAGAGATATTTGCTTAGCAATAGAACATCACGGGATCTGTGTCATGGGTTAATAATAGAATAGAATAAATGGAATTCAATATCATTAACATCCTTCTAAGGATAAGGATATATTTATGTTATTTTTCGACCCATGTTTCTTAGAGAAATTTGATCAGTTACTCTGATAGAATACTTTCTTAAAAGATCCTAATAGTTTTTAATTTCACCGTATATATATATATATAAGAAATGCTGATTTTTTGTTAAATCGAATACCACACCTTTAATAATTATACTAATAATACCTCAGAGTATATTATTGCTTTATTACGCTCTATTTACTTTCTATAAGATGCGTTTTGACTTCATAAGTGTAGCAGTCCACTTTTACCTACACATATAAGGAGCGAAAGTTGATATTCGTATATGTACCTGTCATTATTATCTATTCTTTAATCTTTACACAATGCAATAGAAAGGACACTATTTGTAATAAAACTGAACAAATTTATCCTAAACATAAGAATATTTTTTTATATACAAAATTTATTAGATATGTGATATCACACGAATAGAGTGAAGGATATTTTTTTGTAATTAGTATTTGAACCTGCTTCGTGAAAGTAGATCAGTTTTTAAATATAATAATTGATTTACAAATTGTTATAATATTTCTATTAAAACCTGTGTAATAGTTTTGTAATCGGTATTGTAAGCTTGTTTGCCATTCTAAGTTGCATAAAAAGAAATTAGTGTTCGTGATTGTTTAGAGGAGGCGGTTCTCATTTTTTATAAGGCAACTAACTCACTTGCATGCCGCTCTGATTATCAGCTGTAGTAGTTTAAAAAAAAACATATTTCCTTGTAGAGCATTGGTTACAATATAACAGTGATTCAAATCTCTATTATAAAGTACATACTAGTAAATCGAATCGTACATTTAGTAACAAATTTTAAAAGTGTATTAAGGACAAATCATTTAAATAGACTGTGAATATAATCTTATAATTTCTGCTGTGCGGTCCCAGCATAGACTGCGCCACCTCCTCCTTTGCTATGAGTATTTTAAGCGGCGACTAAGAGAACTTAATGGTCGAGGGATGGGCAGCAACGTTCTTCTTAAAACATTATCAGAAGCATAACTGCGGTTACCAACCTGCCTGCCAAACGTGGTACCTACTGGCAAAATCTCTCAATTGAGGGAGGTCTATGTTCAGCAGCGAGCAGTTAATGGCTGATATGATGATGGTAATTTTAACTAAGAAAATCTTATATAGTTTTTAATTGAATTATTTATATGATTTAAACTATTGAATGGTAAGAATTATTAAGTGCATAGTTACATACTCGAATTTATTACTACTGTTAATAACATTACAACAATTCCAATAGAGATGTTTGGCGCATGTTCATATGCGAGGTGACAAGAGGCACTTAACCTATTTTTAGATCTTAGAACGGTTATAAATATCATACATACGAAATACGTATTGTAATATTACGTGTTTGTTTATGTTCTGGTTCCTAACATATGTTTAGTTGACGTCAAATTAAAAGTCAGAAATATATAAACGTTTAATAGACACTTTAGATTGAAAATATTTTTTATTTAGTTCGCGGAATTGTATGTTATACAATTATTATAGGATCATTATTACAGCGTGAATTTACTGGGTACAGAGAAATAACACCTGAGTCCTCAGGAATGGCAACGCATGGGGGGTATCATGGGCGAAACAGTATACTCTGTTATGTCCATGGTACTGCTCATGTCTATAGGCGACGGTTACCACTTTCCATGAGGTGGGCCGCGTCAGCTTGTTTGCATTCTAAGTTGTATAAAAAAAATCATCATGGGAGCCAACCTAATGGTTTGCAAAAAAAAAAATCTAAATCAATTCAGAACTTCATTGGTGTCTATTACTACTTTTTCTTTCGAGCCAGGCAGTCTAAATATATTTGCACCAGAATTTAAGGGCTTCCATACCAATCTTGTAATGTGACAAAAATATTGATGAATTTATTAGTAAACTCCTTTTGAAAGTCACAAATCACATTTTCTCACTGAAGGAAGAGTGACGCTTGGTTAACTCTCTGCAAGAGCGCAGTCGGCCGTAGTTCAGGGCCCTAGGGAGAAAAACTGATGGACTATGGGGCAGTGCCTATCTAAGAACGCAATCTTTTGACTTCGTCTATCTTTTATTCGTCCACGCTGGTTGGGATATGCTCATTCTTATTATGTCATCATACTTTTGTCACTATATGAATCCTAAGATCAATGTTATCTTACTAATTCTTTTTCTTACTAATATAATAAAATTGTAACTAGATGGTGTTTGGGCATGGGAGATATTTAGGAAGAATTTATATGAGGAGTTTTAATACGAGCATTAGAAGACAAAATATATTTTTTTAGAAATTTTGTCTATCTATCTGTCTGTATGTTTATTTAGGCGTCATATAAAAATTGCTGCACCAAATTAGAGATTATTTTTATTCTATTTTTGAAGGCTTCACTTAAACTCTGGTATGTTTTATCTAGATACGCCATCAAAAGTGGTCTAATTTATTGGTTTTTCTACTTCTGAAATCCTCGCATACGAAGTAAAGCTAGTATATATGCATATAGTATATGCTTAGGTTATGGAATTTTTTTTTTTTTTTTACAACACAGGGGGCAAACGAGCATGCGGCTCACCTGATGGTAAGTGACTACCGCCGCCCATGATCACCCACAACACCTACGGCATTGCAGGTGTGCTGCCGGCCTTTTAAAAAGGAATATGCTCTTTAAAGGAATAAGCACACTGTCGAGGTTTCCTAAATGATTACAGCATGGGGTTCTTTAACAAATGCGTAAAGAGGTTTATTTAGGGCAGGCAACGTTCGCGTAATGTAAGGGACATTAGTATTACAAGCGTTCATAGGCTATGGTAAACGCTTACTGTCAGGTGGGCCGTATTCTTGTTTGCAACCTCAGGGCAGTAAAAAAATAGTATCACGTACAAAAAGCCCAAAATATACAATCAAAGATTACTAATTACGATTACTAGTTAGTAAGGTTTGTTGTAAAACTGTTGGCAAAATACTATTATAAATTTTGTAGAAATGTAACAAAAATATGATTTTCCTTGTTTAGAACAAGAAACATTACATTTTTTTTAAATATAAGCGATTCTGCTTATGCCTTATCTTAAGATTTTTTTAGTCAGTTTAATTATTTTTTTTATTGAAAAGTTTTAATTAGAAAGTTCATATATCTTTTTAATATTTGACGAACAATTGAAAGTTTAAATAACATTAAAGTAATATTACTTGTCAAATTAAAATAAAATTATCTCTTACCCAACATTCTGTTAATTTCTCCTTTTTCAGTCATTCTCTTCGTCCGAGCTATTCATTTCATCACGTAACACAGTACACCTGCAAAAAAAATATAAAATAGTATATTACAACACAATGTTACTTTATTCTTAAAAAAAATGTCAATAACCAGTATTCTGTTCCTATACTCCGCATTTGGGATACAACGATATTTCAGGCAAAAATTGATTTTTCAATTTCCCAGACCATTGCCTAGCTACTACGTACTTAATAATTTTATCAAAAACATGATATTTTATTGAAGAAATACCAGTTTGAATGACGTATTTCACGTATCGTACAAGTAAGGAGTAGTAATTAAATTATAATATCTGCGAATAAAGTTATACCTTAACAAAATGCGATAAATCCTTTTAAAGCACTATAAGCACAACAAATTAACTAACACAGACACAAAATTGAAACAATTGAAAGAACTATTTTGAAATATGTTAAAAATATATATTTTTTAAACAATCACATTATTTGCACTTATTAGTAGTATGTTTATGAAAGAAATTTTGGGATATATTGTAAAGATTTTCCCGATCATGGCAGAGGCATCGCGTTGAGGGTTGGAAGTCGAGCCTGCGGAAATGCACGACTACTACCGACAGGAGCCGAATGCAAATGTCATACAGAGGCGGAATTAGAACTGTGACCTCTTTAAAAGGAAAAGGCCTTAGTACCTTTCTACTTGTTAATATTATTGTTAATGTTATTAACATTTTTTTAAATAAAAATACTAACTTATGTGTATCAACCTGTAAGTAAGAACACACAATATTAATATAGGTTGATGATAGAAATATAAAAATATTTAACTGCCGTTAGTAAACTACTAATACAGTTGTGTGAAATATTACAATAATGCAACACGAATAATGATGATTATGGTATGATTATGATATTAATTGATGATTATGATTAATGTTATGAAAAGTTTCTGTATTTGGCTTCATATACCAAAAACAAACTCTTGAGCTCATTAACTATTTACCTAGTTACTTATGTAATTTTGTAAATGTTTTGTACTTACTATTCAAAACTATAAATTTCATTAATGTTATTTATATTTCCAAATTAAAAGTACCCGTAATCGGCGAGCATGTATGAAAAGATTGATGAATGTGGAAGAAGCGAAAGAGGTTTGTTTGAATCGAAGCATTTGGCGTTCCATTGTTTCTGCCTACCCTAATGGGAGACAGATATGTATGTATGTATATATATTTCCAAATATGTTATATATTCGATTCTTAGTTCGACCCTGTGAAATTAGCCACCCTGCGGAGAGGTCGTCGCCATATTTTTCACGCATGCGCCTTAATTTTCTCATATACGGAACAATCACTACCTATCAGTACCTACATGTTGACGGTGTGTTACCAGTCTAATTATTTACACTATGTTTTAAATTTGGAAATCTGAAACATTATTTCTATTTAATAACTAGCTGTTATTTTGAAGATTTATTTAATTTATTAATTTACAGGTTTTACTCTGTACTATTATGTGCGTAATAAGAGCTACTGACATCCGAACTGACAGAAGGAACGATCAATATTATGACGTCATGTCATTGAAAGTGTATTAAGAGAATGTTCAATCCGGATACGGAACTAGGTATGCATCTATTACAGCTATAAATATCTCTACGTCGCTTCTATTCCTATTTATAGACTTTGTCTTGTGTCAAATAATTAAAAGCTATATTTCGCATTTCTGTCCGCGTGAATTACGAGAGTATTGTATATATATATGTGTATTTACAAAAATTTCATTCAATTCAATCTAACAATTTATGAATGCAATTTATTCGACTAAACAGATGGTATTTACTCAATACTAACAAATATCCATATATGTCTACTAACTTTCATATTGAAAGAAATGCTCAGTTGTACATCCTTTTATATCAACACTCTGAGTCTCATACGGAATTTGCAGAGTACCAGAGTGAATCGAGTGAAAACAGGTTTCATCTTCACGTAATTGTTATCTTACTTTACTTATTTTCCTTTGTTATTAATAGAACTAATTTTAAATTATTGTCATTATTTTATTGAAATAGTATTAATAATTACCAAAAAAAAATGAGTCCAGAAATGAAAATTCTGAGTTTCTTGTACTAATATAATAAGTAAATGTGTCGTGACTATTGAGTGTATGTAATTCTGATAAAACTTTAATATTTTTTTCGAATATATAAAATATTTACTATCTAATTTTATCAAGTCTTTTGGAAAACAAGATGTTACTTAGTTTTTGAATATAATCTACCTACTGTTTATGAGGGAAGGTATATATATATATATATATATATATATATATATATATATATATATATATATATATATATATATGTAGGGTATATTATTAGTAATGGGGAGTAACTTCCTCATAACTAGCAATATAATTTCTCAAGTCGACATGCATGTGGTCCACGGAAACGATCGTAGTGAATTCCTAATGAATTCACTACAATGGGCTAACTATCCTGACTTTATACTCAATGCTTCATCTGTCACTATTGTCTGGCCATTGTATACAGGTAGTATAGGTAGGTGTACCATTTAACTTTTATCTTACAAAAATAAATTATCGTTTACTATTATTTGAGATAAAAATTCCGAGTATGACTACATCCCGTCATGAATATTTTGCGATTAACTTCTTAAATTATATATAATATCCTAATCACAAAAGCTTAGTCAGCCTGTAATTAACAGATGCGCAATACGCGTGGTCGATAGCATAGAGAAGGCGTGTTTAAGCTACGGCCCGCATGCACTGATAAGTACATCCTCAGGCCACTCAATACGGGAAGTTCTATAGACTTCCCCTTTGCTTACTAATGTTTTAAAGAACGACCAGTCGCAGCATTTTTTATTACATTACTACTAGGTATCTATGCGTCTGACATATGCGTCATCTAATCTTAAGAGTTCCTAAACCGTCTTTGTATGAGATACCGTACCCATGTACAAATTCATTTATTATGTATGTAGATTTAGGTTAAAGACCTTCAAAAATTTTCAATATTAGCGTTACGTAATACTTGGATACCCCTTCATTGTTAGCATTTTTTTTTATTGAGTGATAATGAAATTGTCACCCCGCTTGCGCTATCGGTATACGCTGGCGAGGCACCAGTGAGGGATGATAGGTGACGGTGAAAGCAGGTCAGTTAGTCCATAGTGATAAATTGCACTAGAATTAACCACGATGGTTTCCAGGGGGAACCACGTGGAGGTCGACCTGATAGGGTGTATTGCTAGCAATGGGGCAGTTAGACCTCATTACTTACAATCCCTTTCGCCCTCATTGTTAGCATTATACCGTACTAAGTCGATTTCCACGCGGTATCCTCGGTCGGTAAACCTTGATCTTGAGATCATGGATTTAATCAAGATGGGTTAACTAACTTGATTTATCTTCACCTATCATCTCTCACTGGTGCACCGCCAACGTGTACCGATAGTGCAAGTGGGATTAACATTCCATTAAAAAAATACTAAAAACACTGTCAATTCAACTGTATAGCTAATTTAATATTTGGTTACACTTATAACATCCAATTGTAATATTAAAAATATAGGAATGAATTCTATTATAAAATCATCTAAATGGGTTCAGGATTATATGTATTGGTAATCATGCGCAATACAATACAGATAAGTTTCTTCCCGCGAGCACTTAGATTGTGAAATGTATTTCTCCCAAAAGTTTTCTCTATAGACTATTAGCATTCTTTAGGGACTGAGATTTTTAAAGAGTCGGCAATGTACACATAACACTCCGTTTGTTTGTTGGTATCCATAAGTTACGATAACCATTTACCATCAGACAGGCCGTATGCCTGTATGCCACTATATAAAACATAACCTACCATAATTGTACTGTACCAGTATCGGTACCTGCCCATAGAAATAGCTGGTCTACGCAATCGCATTTGCTTAATTTGCTTCTATTATAAAATACGCGAAATTTGATTGTCTAAAAACGAGAAGTTGAGTACATCTGATTAGTTCTACAAGGCCGGTTGCTGCCTCATAAGGACAGAGCCGACATTCAATGATAATGATCGTTAACGTCATTCAGGTATTTAAGGATTTGTTACATTAATGTTATTGGTTCACCTATTGTTCTTTGAGCAGATATTTTTGACAATGGTAATAAATAATTGATGATTTATATTATGAAAAAAAAAAATGTTCCACAGTGAAAATAATAGATATACAAATAATATAGACCAATTGGAATATCTAAAAGATTTGGTATCTACACAATAATTTAAATAATATTCCAAGATTGATCCAACATCCTGACAGCAATTTCGCATAACTTAACTTTCAAATTCATTACTTGAAATAAGATTACGCGTGAACATCAATTTCCACCCACTCCTTCATAAAATTGCAATAAGAATGTTTGGTATAATATTGATTAAGTAAGTACACTTCACAAATTTTTACCAAGTATTTTTTTGTAATTATAAGAAACTTACAGAAAATATAATTTCATATTGATATTGTATTATTCTTACATTTGGATTCGCGTATATACTTTACTGAAATGGTATTATTAATTTACATATCCCAATCAGAATAATAACATCTGAATAACTAAAAGTCATTGTATAAGTATTGACTTTAAATGCAGCTGTTTCAAATGAGCCGATCAACAGGATACTTTTGGAAAAAACTGGTAAAATCTATAATTTACCTGAAGGTTGTATATGTAATGTATTATTTTCCAATAACTTAGAACCAGGATAATGCACTAATCACCACACATGCACAAAACACTTCACTGCACTTTACGAAATATGTTCCGCCTGTATCGAAAATTTCAAACCAACTGAATATGTAAGGTCGTATTGTATGACTCTAAATTAATCGTGTTATTTAAGCAAAATGATTCTTAATTACGTTCTGTTTAAGGTTTGTTTTACCATGAAAGTACATTTCCGATTAAAACAGTTCTAAACTTCTTTTATAGAAACTGATAGCAATTTAATTAACATTATTATGGTGTCGTTAATTCCATGACTAGTTATATCAAAAGAATGCAAAAGTATAGCTACTTGTATTTCCATTAAAATGGCACAAGTTCAGGAACTTCAATGCTTTGTTTTTTACACGTTAACAAATGAGCTGTGTAAACAAAGTAGTTTTGTGTATAAAATTTAGTAAATCAGTAAAAAAATAGAAAAAGCACAAACATGAAAGAAAGAAGAAAAACAAAATATTATAACACCTTTTATAATTAATCGCAATAATAATTTCAATAGCAATTTAAACACATAATAATTGTGTCAATTTGATAAAAAGGTAAACAGTAGATAACGACCAATTATATACAAATGCTCAACAAAATTAGTTTAGCAATTTATTATCAGATAATTAAATATGTATTGGATTCGCACTTCGCGTAATTACAAATGTTGCGTGTGACCGACGCGCGAACAAGTTAGAACTCTCAACTGTTTTATTTTAGAGCTGGCACAACACACGGCCGTGGAAATGTTGCAAAGGTGTATGTGGCTATTCAAATCCTATGAGCGATGTCCAATGTCGTTCATTGACTGCGGTGTCTTGTATATTATTAATTGACTAATATATTAGTGCTATTTAACAGAAATAAAAGCGTGAAATTGTTTTTCATGGTTGTATTGTTTCGTTTTGTTAAAGAACGAGCGAAACTGACAGTTATGATGCTTCATTTCTTTCCTTTCTTTACGAATTCTAATTCATGTATATTTATTTCATTTTTATTTCAGTTATTAACTGTCTGTTGCTGAACATAAACTTTTCCTATAAGGAGAATTTTGCAACTAGTTGCTACGCTTGGCAAGTGGGTTGGTAATAGCAGTTAGGCTTTTAGAGATGTTTTAAGAGGAACATTGCTGCTCATCTCTGTTCCCTTAATCACCTTTTACGACACCTACGGGAAAAGAAGGAGTGGCCTATTCTATGCCGGGATACTCACGACGATGTATACCTATATGTTACATATAATTTCAATATAATCAGTACTGTATGACATTATAGTATTAAGTTAGGTTTTTACCTTCTCGACTTATGTCGACTTTAATGTATATGTCCTGTAATCTACAGGAAGAAAGGTACATATGTTCGTTGAGATTTTTTTATGTCCTTTTTCTCCTACCTTGCCCTCTCCTTTGTTGAGTGTTTATGTGTGAAATTTGAAATTTGTGAATGGTTGTTTATAATGATTGATAATTCTGGTGTATTTATTGAATGTTATGTGTTAGTTATTCGTTGTGTGGTTGATGACTGTTGCGTATCTTGAATGTGATGATTTTGTGTATTGTACACGAAAACGTTATCTCCCAATACTTTACTGAGTATGGTTGATGTGTCTACGGCTGCTTGTTTTTGTAAAATGGTAATGTCAACGTTGGTGTTTAGCTTATTTATGTATTTTTTAATATTTTTAGCTACTATTCCTGTTGCGTCTATCACTATCGGGATAATAATTGTTTGTATGTATTCCACAAACGACTTTCTTCAGGTTTACGAAGGTATTATTTGCTTTTCAATTTCCTTAGCGCCTATATTGTAATCAGAAGGTGCAGTTATAACTGTTAAATATGTTTTTTATCTATACATATTCAAACGTCTATTATGTGAACGTGCATGATTTTTGGGCAGACACTAGTAGATATACTGAACAACATAATTATGTCCTTTGACATAATAGGTCCCGACCTGTTTCTCGGATCCCGATATTTCTTATCTTTACAAGCATATATACGACACCTTTCGTCTGCTGGCTCTTTGAGTACGTCACGTTGATGTTGTCGTATCATTAAGATTTTGTCCTGAATGGCAAATATTGACGGCTTGGGCATATCTGCTGTTTTTTAATCAAGCTAAATGAAAATTTACTATCTGTCTATGTATAATACATAATATTATATTATATATTGTTTTCTCAATGTCATCGGTTTTCGTAAGTTTGTGTATCTATAGTAAGTAAACTGTATTATTTTGTAAGAAACAATGAAGAGTATATATCTGTATTACGTCTGTAGATGATGGTGACCACTTTTCATCAGACGGACAATCAGACGGGCAAGGCTTTATTCACAATAACAACAGAATGCAAATGCAATGGAATGAAACTTAGAATACTAAGTTGCATAAAAATGTATGGGTATCATTGGTACCTTTTATCTTAAATTAAAATATTTAATGTTTTATTTTTGAAAAAATAATACATGCTGTATTATTTGTAACTTCGTATTTATGAAATAGTTAATTTAAGATATGGTTCATCCAAACACACGTCCAAATATAAAATGTACTTTCAAATTTATTACAACTGTATCCTTACTCTTATCATGTACTCAGGATTCTTCCTGAGGATGTACTATAGTAAAATACAAAATAATCTGGGTTAATACGAGTGGGTTACGATAATTTTGTTGTGATAATTTTTTTCTTTGACTCACCTGGCTTATGTATTAGTTGCCAGTAAAGCAAACTTTAATATTTTTTTTTGTTTTTATAAAAAGAAATATCATACAAAAGTTGAATTGGGTTCTCATGGAGTTTCATGGTTTGTTTAAATTTATTATTGATATTCAACGCGATGTAGCTACAATTTTTTTTTGATGGGTGAAAATGGTATGGGAGCCCCGCCTGCGCTAATGGGATACGCTGGCGAAGCACCAGTGAAGGGTGATAGATGAGAATGAAAATAAGCCAGTTAGCCCATCATGATGAATTCATCAGTAATTAACCATGATAGTTTCCAGGGAGAACCGCGAGGTGGTCGACTTGGTTGGGTATATTGCTAACAATGGAATTCTCAATCTCCATTACTAACAATCCCTTTCCCCCCTGCAGCTACAATTGACTTTATATTCCGGTTGATTCTGTTAAGTTCAAAGTTAAAGCCGAACATTCAAAGGTCCAAAGCTAGGTTTAAAGATTGGGTTAGCCCTATCGCATTATATTTTTTTTATATCGGAGCATTTTATATCAGATTTTATATTTGATAATGCAGACAAATTATTGATAATTATAATAATAAAAAAATAAATTTGTTTCTACGTTACTTTTAGGTATCAATGAATTAGGTCAAAAAATACCTTGTAATCATAGTACCTGAGGAACTTGTAGTAATATGTTACAGCTATTTTTATAAACTGTCACATATTAAAATAAAACAAACAAGACGTATGAAAAATTTTCTTTATCTCTATGATAATGTCTAAAAATAAATATTTTGATATTTCAACTGATTAGCCGGTTTGTTTTTGAAGGGCTATGGTCAGTTATATATTAATAAAACTAAAGTTATCTGAAATGAACTTTCGAGATTTTATTTAATTAAAAAGTGTTTTTATACCGTTAAATTATTTATAATAGTAAAATTTACGCAACGTCTTATTTATTCCATAGATGTGAACTGTGCTATAGACATTACAGAATATTCTACGGTGTCTATCGAAATATCATTCATCATCATCATCATATCAGCCGTTAACTGTCTACTGATGAACATAGATCCTCCTAAGGGAGGTTTTGCCAGTAGTTGCCATGTTTGTCAAGCGAGTTCGTAACAGCAGTTAGGCTTTTGGTGATGTTTTAAAAGAGACGTTGCTGCTCATCCCTCGATCATTAGGTTTCCTTAGTCGCCTATTACGACACTCATGGGATGTGACATGTGTGGCCCATTTCATAGTGGGACTATACAGTAAATCGTTTATGTTATATTAATTTTTTGAACGCTACGGTGTTGTAGTGAAGATACTGATACCGAAATCCCTACCACTAATTTTGCTGCGAGAGTGAGATAGAAGAAGCTTCATAATTAGATGACCTTGTATTGTAGAGTGAATATCTTAAATTATGTCATTATATGATAATACTGCAACAAATATACTAGGGAATGATAAAAATTATACTCTGTATGTACCGTATGTCTACGTTTGCGGTCGGTCAATGAACTTATGTTAGGTAGCTGTTACATACCGAGACATGTGATATGGCTGATGTTTATATAACAAATACAATAAAAAATTGATAATTTCATACGTTTAGTACAAAAACAATTTCTTTTTCGTATATTTTAGTATAGTCTGTAATTAAATTCATCATAAATAATGCCACAAATAATTATCAAAACGTTCTTCAAACTAAATCTAATACAAATGAAAAAAGTTAGTTATATACTAAATAGTTAGATTAACGAACTAAATTATTAATTATAGAATAAATTGCATTTATTTATTACTAAAATTTTTATATAATATATACTTCATACTTGTGTTTTCCTTCAGTAGTTTTTTTTTTCTATCTATATATAAATTTTAAGTGAGAATGAAGAGACATTTATGATAAATATTAAAAATTGATTGATAATCCCGATATTAACATACTTCAGTAATCTTCGGTATAAACGCTTTTAAGTATAAGAAAAATGGCTTCATTTTTTCATTGTAACAAATATCTAATTGCTGAAATTAATAACTTCAGAACATTTCAAGTGAATGTGATTCGTATCACGTAGGTACTAAATATGACTGGCGTAAATTAAATATAGATTGTAATATCGGTTTATTTAGATATTTCCTATTATCTTCTTGATTATATTTAGTTTAAAACTCGAACATTAAAATATGTGTGTGACCGTATTAGATTGTTCTATTTAATATTATGCTATTGAATAAGTTATGAATTTATTCTATAAAAATTACTTGAGTAGTAGTGACTACCAACACAAGAATTAATAATATCAATTTCAAAATAATCATCAAAATCAGTTCAGAATTGGAGTAGATGTCGTATTTGTCGTACATTTATATTTATAATTCTTTCAAGTTGAGAATTTTTTCTTTAATAAAGTTGCCCAAAATTTGATAATTTGTTATCGACTTCTTCATATTTCTACGAGTATATTTGACGGGGTAACACTACCACTATCATTTGCTATTTGGATTTAATTATTAGGGAATTTAATTGGAAATTTAAATTGATACAAACAATTTTAAGAAAGATACGATAAGATACAATTCGGAGTAAAACTTGAACATATCTAGTATAGTATAGATACGGAGAGAGGATTCACTATATACTAATTTAATTACCTACAACTAATATTATTCCTAATAAGCAAAATAACACAAAACTTAGTTATCATAGCATGATATTGGGTATATCCTTTAGCTGATAACAGTGTTACTATCTCTTTGACCGAGTTCAATTGATACAATCGAGCTAAATTGTCCTGAAATGAACTTCAATATCGCAGTGCTGTACCCTACGTGCTTATCTGTCAAACGACAACGCGCTCTGCACTTCGAATGGGTCATTTGTCGTGTGATCAACGAAATTATCTTAATATTTGAGTTAGCATTTCATTAGCAATTAGCAAACATACATTATCTTATCGACTCGTATTAGTAAAAGTGATGTGTTCCAATACACACGCGTCGCACGCTTACAGTGTGATGTGATGTTCCATTTATTACGATTTGTTATTATATAATATTTATTTATTTATTAAATAGAAGAGAACCAAGTAAATAAATTTGCCATGTCTGAATTAACGCCTGATCTGCAGGAACTGGAAAAGCTCAGGTTCGTAATTTTACGTGTTTATCTTGAATATATATTTTTCTGTTGCCATGCTAGTGTGCTCGAATAGCTGTTTTGAAGTTTAAAGGGTGGGATATAACAGTGAAATTACAGGATATATCGGCCCTCGACCTTAGTCTGCACTAATAACGTATCAGGGATGCTATGGGTATCACAGTATATTCTGTCTGTTATAATCAGGTCCAATTCATCAGCTTGTTTGTCATTCTTGTTGTATAAAAAAGTATCAGTTACAGCACAATATAATATTACTTTTATTGTGTTTTATATTTGTAAAATAAATATTTAGGCTTTGCCTAATAGAAACTGTTATATTTCAAAAACTTTTAATAGACTAGTTTATTCCCATGGTTGACCCCACTTAAAAATGATAAATGCTATATAGGCTAGAATGACGTAAACGAAAAGTTGCACATACATACAAATTTATTTTTAAATCGGTTTCTGATGCTGTCATTATTTGTTTTTCTATGAATTCAAAGCTTATTGACTTAAAACAAATTTATCAAATTTTTAAAACGACTTAAAGATGAGGTGTCTAGTATTAACTAAGGATTAGATATTGAAGATTTTTATTACATCCATACCCTTATTTCAATAGTTATTTATTGAATTAGATTAAAAAACAACATTCAAACTTTAAATTTTGCCCTTTAATTATATAACTATCTAAGCTTTCTATTTTTTAACTAACACCTAGTAAAACATATCCCGTAAAGTTTAATTAATTTTAGCAAATTAAACGTATTGTAGGACAAAAATTCTGACAAATAAACACAGACAAATAGATACATTTGCCTATACTCAAAATCTATGGCGTAAAAAGTCTTTTGAATAATTTAAAATGGTGTTCCACAAAAAATAAACCGACTTCAATTGTGACAAAACCGGTTATTTTGATTTAAAAACTAATCTACTGAACCGATTTTAATAAAATGTCTATGGGACAATCTGTAAGTATATGCTTACAAATAAAAAAAAATAATCGGTTTATAAATTACGGAGTTCTAAGATATTAATATAACCAAATTGAATCTTTTTTCTGAAGTCAGTTTAAAAAATATTCAATATACAGACTCAGCCTTGTTACGATTTTGTTATATGCATAGAGATAACGTACATTACTAGTATATTACTAAGTAAACAGATGTCTAGAAGTTATTTATTTATAACTACGATATCAAATACAATGTCAATAACTCTAAACCGCAAGGTCATTTACTTCCAGTCCAAATCCCACCAGAAGAGCACAGTCACATACTCAAAACCAAGACACACAATGTCAGGATGATTCTAAGAAGAAATGGCGAATACTTTTGGAACCGGCTTTGGCGGGTTCCATGATAGCAATAAATCTTGGACAGACATCGCTACAGAATTTTTATTTACGCACAGCGTGTACAGTCGACTTGGGATATCCAGCAGAAATATGTGTTAAAGGTGTCGGAGAAGAATTCAGAACAGCCGAGGTAACTTGTTTCTATTTAATAAAATTTAGTCATCGTAACCTCGTTACATATGAGATTCTTCATACTCTAAGCTTTCTTTAATAAACTTTTAACGAATTAAATATAATATTTTATCTGTAAGTTAAAGTTTTTTTTAATGGTTAATAATGGTAATGATAATATGTAAATGATAATGGTAAAACTGTCTGCCTTAACTGTATGCGTTGACGGGGCACTAGTAACGATGATAGGTGAGAATAAAGAGGCAGGTCAATTAGCCCAATGTGATAAATATACCTGGAATTCAGTACTATGGTTTCCAGGAGGGATCGAGGAGAGATTGACATGGTAGGGTATATTGCTAATGTCTATAGGTAACGATTACTACTTTCCATCAGATTGGCCATCAGCTTGTTTGTTATTCTAAGTTGTATTAAAATAATGGGACTGGTAATCCACATTACTAGCATCCTCCATAGTCAAGATTAGTTTTTTTTTTTTAATTACATATAATTACTTTCGGCTGATTAAGAAAATTTGGCATATAAATGGTCACTGATGTGCAAATTATTATAGTAAATAGGGTATTATTTAAAAAACAGCAAATAATTTAAAAACATATACGCACACAATATTAGGTATAGGTATCTCGTAAGTAATAAATATATCTGTTAAGTAGATAAATAATTGTATATATTTAATTACCTAAATTAGAAACATTTTTAATTTCAAGATCGTAGCAAATAAATTAACAAAATATTACTGGTGTGATAAATGAAGTAATTTATAAACATATTTGGATGTTTGTTATTCAAACCTGCATAAACGGCTAAAATGATTTGAATAATATTTGTTATATAGATGGACCATATTCTGGATTAATACATAGATATTTAATTTAAATTTATATAGACAAAGCCTGAGATATAGCTAGTTGTTTATAAAGAACAATATAAAGAAGTAATATTATATGTACTCTTTTATATGACCACCTAAAAGAAAATTAAAAACGCCCCTGTACTTTACTGCTCTATTAATTTTTCACTGTGAACAATAAAGAATAACATTTTATTATCTCTAATTGCTCTAATCCATTTTATGATTATTATCAAATAAAACAATGTAACTACATTTGATATTGCATAAGTTATATATTCACAATATTGTTCTTAATTAGGGTTCTGTACTAAAAAAGTACTTCTTTACTTACTAAATTACTTATTAAAAAAGTTCTAGTAAATTTAATGAGAATGATTTGAAATTTTGAATTCTTTTGATATTACTGACTCAAATTTCATTCTATTTTTAATTCAGTTTTTTTTTCTAATTCTTCAAAAATGACGCTTATTATGCTATACTAATCGTTATAACAATAATACTTTAAATGTCTATTTAGACTAATTAAAGTATTATAAATAATACATTTGGATATAAATCTATTTGTTTTATAGTTAAATATTAAAATAAATTTTGATCTGAGCTTAGACCTAATAGATTATTTTAAGTACAAAACCCGTCAGCATGTGAATCCAAATCGCACTTGACTGGCTTTTTATTTTTAAGTACATACTGTTATTATCTATTTTCTTTTTAATTTATAAGCAGGTAAGTAGTAATAATGTCAAATAATATATACCTATCTAAAACGTATTTACAACCTTGCATATCAGGGCTTATATATTTTTCCTCGTCGCCTTCCGTATTTATAATGTCTTTTCTAGTTGTACGGCGCCGTACAATGCGCTCAAAAACTACTTGTTTGTCGATGTTCCTTCATGCATCGGTGGACGTCATGGTCTACCTATCTTTTCAATCTTAGTATTCTGTTAATAACTGCAATGAGTAGCTGAAGGTCTATTTCAGTGAAAACCGTGTAATCTAATTTACGAAATTATGTGAATTAATATTAATAGCGGATTCAAAATTCTTATTATATACATAATTTATTTGAATTACTTACAGCACACAAATAACAACAGATATAAATACATACGTAAAAAAATGAATAAAAGAATAAATATATGAAAAAAAAATACATAAAAGAAGTAACATAATTTTTCATTTCGTAATAAAAAGAAAAAAGAGAGACATTTTATGGACCCAAATATTGTACGATGCTTTCTGGATATGTATTAGACGTCAAAGGAGAATTAAAATTGTTTAGTTCATAACCTTATTTATAACTAGCTGTAATCGGCGGCTTTGCGCACATATTTAAGATAAGAAGCAACTACGTGTTAATCCAGAATATTATTCATGTGCACATTCCATTAAAATGCGTGATATAGTAATTAACGTTAAAACTTCTTTACAGATTTTTTAGTATTGAAAATCAGTCATTTAATTATATTATATAGGCAACCACGTGTCCCAAAATAGCAACGAAATTACTTTGTACAAGGTATAACATGATGACAGGAAAGGACATGGACGTATCTATTTTGTTTAAAATAATTGTATGAGTATAATTTCTGCTAAAATAATATATTTATTTATTATTATTTATGAAATTTTAGGCTGCAAGTCAAGTGGTTGTGGCGGGTGTGAACATTAGTAGGAGTTTCATTGGATCTCTCATCTCCGCTATAGTTCTCTTATTCGTGGGCCCATGGAGCGACTGCAGTGGGCGACGGAAACCCTTACTCATTATGCCATTAGTAGGAATGACCATCATGACAACTGGAGTTCTATTGATGATTATGTTTCCAGGGGCGTCTACTATACAAGTATTATATGTTGTTCAAATACCAATATCCTTGGGAGGAAATTTTGGTTTACTTTTGGCAGCTGCTTTTAGTCACATTGGAGATGTAGGTATAATCAATTTATTGTTTTTGTATATTTATATATGTGTGTAATTATAGGTAACAGTTTGTTCAAAACTATAAAAGAGTTCTTGACAACACGGGTTCAATGATCCGATTTATCAGAACTTTTTTTATTTTTTACTCGATCCGGAAACCCTTTTACGGGAGTGTGCTATCAGCGAAACTAAACATTACTCCGAAAAATTGAGTCGAAAATCGATAAAAATGTTGAGTATTCTATACAAACTTGACAGTTGATGCATTGTATTAATAGACCAGGGCTCAAATTTTGTGCTTTATATTGATTTATGCTTTTAAGTTTTATTAGTAAAATACTCCTTTAAAATGATACTTTTAGTTTCACACTGAATAATTGAATGTTTCTGATTAAAAATATAATAATAATAAAATATAAAAGTTGAATGATCACAAGCCTATCAATTGAATTCAATTGGCATAATATAAACAAGTTAAGGCACTAATAAAATGAAATATGGCGACTGATATCGCGCGACAATGTCACCTATTGAATACTAATAATAAGGTACTTTACTTTTAAAAATATTCCTATCTATATCTGTGATGCGATTTGAAAATATGTACTTGCTTATTATGTTTCAGGTATGCCATGCGACAGGTCGTGACGTCACGCGTACTATGGGTGAACATCGTGCCGCCATCCAGATATCTCAGGTCGTGGGTGCCGTTTGTGGCCCTCTTCTCTATCGTAACCTAGGTTTCTACGGTGTGTTTCCTCTTGTTTTATTACTACAGGTACTTGTTTTGATTACTCTTTACGATGTACTGAATCCTAATTTTAATACTATTTTTATACTAATTTTTATACTTATATTTATTGCTTTACATTTGTATAAACTACACCTATTTTATTTTAGCTTAAGATGATTAATTTGATTTAAGTCGTCACGGTCTAGCGAATACTTAACAGTTTTTAAAATTATAAGACATTACCTATTATTATATGTAACAAGATGAGTCATGTTTGTTATTGTTTTATCAGTTATGATATTTTTGAAGTAGTAGTTTTTCGTAGAAATAAATGAAAATAAAGAGTGACATTGAAAACAAGTTGATAAAGAAACTGAATATTTTACTAAAAAAAAACACAGTCTATAAATTGGAAATTTTGTATAAAGTCGCAAAAATTTTTGTTATTATTTGACCCCTGTCTTTGGGACGTATTTTCTGTTTTACCGGTATCTCTCCCTAGTAATTTCAGTTGTGCCTTGTATACAATAAATAGTTAAAGATTATGTCCCAAAACAAAAACCGACCTCAATTGTGACAGAATCAGTTGTTTTGGTCTTGAAACTAAACTACTTAATCGAATTGGATAAATTTTCTATGGTAATAATCTGTAAGAATATCGTTTCAGACAAAAAATGAATTTTCCAAAATCGGTTTAGAACTGACAGAGTTATGCGGTAACAAACATAACAAAAATATAAACGAATTGAAAAACTCCTTGTTTTTGAAGTCAATTGAAAAAAAATCACATTATAGAATATTTAGCGTAATTTTAGCGTCAGGAGTGTTCTTCTCTAGAAATCTGTCCGATTCTAGAATAAGGGCATACGGGTATGCGATCCCGGCCTCCCGAGCCGCTGCAGTGTCCCAGTCCTTTCCGCAACTGCAGTGTCCCACCCCCCTCCCTTTCCTTTCCCACATAAGTCCCTTATTCCCCTCATTCACCGAAATTGGTGAATGAGGGGAATAAGGGCTTTAGGCTTTACGCTTTTCCAACGTTCCCTTCCTTTTTTTCCACAATCTTTTCCTCCATACCGTAGGTGGCGGAAACCACCAACAAATGCATTCCTAAAGAGGGTTGACGTCAGGCAGGTGGCCGGTCGTAAAACTAAAAACCAAATCTTTTTGTATTATGGATAAAATCTTATTACGCCGACCCCAAATGATTGGCATAAGGGTAGGAAGATGATAGAATATTTATTTACGGTGTAGTGAGATAATAAGAATAAGAGTACAGCATCACCATTTCTGATTATCCCCAAGTTGTCATAATAAGAATTGAAAAAGGGTACTAAGCAAAACAGACTACCGTAAGAGAAGGAGAACTAGTAACCCTAAGCTACCTGACGGATATAGTACATAATAGTAAGGAGAGTTCTGAGTTTAATGGAGGCAGCAGTGACACAGTAACTGATTGTTATGATGATGGTAACTTCTGTATTTTTATTCTTATAAAAATCATTATGTTCTGTAATAAATTTTGTCTATAACAAAGAGAGACCCGTATTCAATGGGGAAAGCAGTGACACATTAGTTAATGTATCATCGTAACAATCAGTTTGTTGTTATGATAATGGTAACTTCTGTATTTTTATTCTTATAAAAATCATTATGTTCTGTAATAAATTTTGTCTATAACAAAGAGAGTCCCGTATTCAATGGGGAAAGCAGTGCCACATTAGTTAATGTATTATCGTAACAATCATTTGGTTGTTGTGATGATGGTATTATAACTTCTGTATTTCCCTTATTATAAACATGGTTGTATTCTGTAATAAATTTTGTTTTGTATTTGAATTTTTAGGTCTCATCATTGCTCTATGTGATATTTGCTGTAAAGGACGTCAATATCAACAATGATAACAAAGTCTCTGTATTAAATTGGAAATTACCTTTTAATGCTTTCCAATGCTTAGTGCGGAAAAGAGATGGTTACCGAAGAACAATTATATTCTTGTTATTGATCGTTACTCTTGGAGACAGAATATTTTTGTCTGGTAAGAACTTTTTTAAAATAAATAGGGATCATGTCTTTTAAAATTGTGGTATTATGAAGAGTGAAAATTATTTGTTACTCAGTTACTGATAGCCTACTGAATGGATTGAGAAATTACTTACTGCAACATTAAAAAATAATGCATAAATTAGTGAAGTACACTAGTGTGTGTGTTAGTGAATGACACAGTGTGAAATCTTTTCGACGTTACTTAAAAATAAATATTTTTGCTACTCTGAATGCAAACAAAAATTCTAATAGATAGCTTACCCTGCACAGTTATCTATTAAGATGTGAAAAATTAGAAATACGAATATTTATAATATTTAATTACTCGCACTTAGGCAAATACTGGGTATTTGCCGTAGGTAGGTAGTTTATTTTATTCTATGTCTCTGTTTGTATCTCAGATGTTTCAGTGAATTGCAGTGAATTTTTTACCTAATATTTTTATGTTAGTATGAAAATTCATCACTGATCAGATTCTGATACATTTTCACAGAGAATAACGCCAGGCGTGTTTAGAAATAAAAGTATGGAATACAAAATTAGAAATTTATTCATATACAGATTATATCGTTTGTAAGGGATCGAATTAGACAGATTACCCCCAGGTAGCTATATGTAGCCAAGCTATATATATCTTCGGTTAATGTAGCCAAGTTCACGTGGTCAAAGCTGCGGGAGACTACTGATGTTTGTAACAGCATAAAAACTACTTAAAGAGTTACTTAAAAATTAAACCTCTATCTTCGAGATTGTTAATGATTTATTATAATTAAATTTAAAAAATATTTCAAACATCATGGCATCGCGCTAAAATCTATGATGGGACCATATTATGAACAGGAACCACTGTCATAGATTATATTTTTTATGATATTAATAACCTAATGGAGTGTCTCACAGTAGGACGGAATTTTTTTTGTAACAAAAAAATTAAGAAATCTATTCTAACATAAACAAATAAACATTTTTTTTATACAACTTAGAATGGCAAACAAGCTGACGGCCCACCTGGTGGAAAGTGGTAACCGTCGCCTATAGACATAAGCAGTACCATAGACATAACAGAGTATACTGTTTCGCCCATGCGTTGCCATTCCTGAACACTCAGATGTTATTCCTCCATACCCAGTAAATTCACGCCATATCCCACCCTTCAAACCGAAACACAGCCATGCAAACACAACTGCTTCAAGATTGAAACACGAATGGGACAGAGGTACTCAAGCAATCGACTTTTGTACAAAGTCTCTGGTAAACATAAAATGAACCCCTCAACATTGATATCGATAGGAAAAAATCTATATGATCAACATATAAAAGCTTATTTTTTAATTTATTTTATATGTGTTGTTTACAGCGGAGATACTTTTATCCTATATGTACTACCGATACAAATTCCATTGGGATGATGTTCTATTCGGAGGTTTCCTGGCCTATCGAAATATAGTCAGTTTTTTCGGTAAGTATTGTATATACATTTGTTTTATTTATATTTGTTCAAGTTTCATATACAATACTGTCTAAACAACAGGAACATTTAAATACACATGACGTGTTAGAGAAGATCCCGGTTACTGTAAATGAAAATATAATTGTGTTTCTTTTAAAAAGTTCTTAATAGAACCAGACCTAATGTTAATGTAAAAGTTTCTTGAAGATGTTTGAATGTTTGTTATTCAATCATTCATAAATAACTGAATATATATTTGGCCATTTTGTATCGTGAATAATTCGGTCACGGTCATCCATCCTAGTGGAAACGGGTATTTCCGGATTTATACCGTGAACTTAGATAAATATATACAATATTTTTAATCCTAACTTTCGTGGGTAAAGCCATAGAAAGTAATTAGTAAGAAATGTTCATGTATTTTTCAGGAACTCTTATAATCTTGTCGGTTTTGAAGCGCCGTCTCCAGCTATCAGACGAAACGGTCGGAGCTCTTAGCTGCGCGACACATGCTGTTGCATCATCAGGCCTAATTGCTGCTACCACTACCATTGCTGTCTTTATAGGTATAGAGCTTAGATTATATAGATAGAGCATCGAGGCTCAAAAACGAGTCAACTTTTCGTCAGCTCATTGTCAAATTAGCTGACTCGTTTTTTTTTTATCAATGTTCTATATACTTACGCATATTATGTATTTTGACGTACTAATTTAAATAAAATGAGTATTTACGCATTAAAAAGATGCAGAAATTATAAGACAAAAAAAAAATAAAAGACATAAAAGAGTCATTCATAACTATTTATCACACAAAATTGTATGAAGTCACTCTATCTATATAATTCAAGGTATAAAGGTATTTTTTTACTAATGTAAATGCTTTGAATAAAAAGTTAATTTTGTAAGTCCAGTATAAGTGAATACGGTTTCCCATGTTGTCTACATAAAATTTATAATTTGTCTGCGTGTAAGTCAACCAGACAACATATTGCTACTGAAGAGACAGTCAGCCCCTCCCATGGTTCAGGGGAAAGGGATTGTTAGTTATAGGGTCTAATAATTTTATTGCTAGCAACATATCCTATCAGCTCGACCTCCACGTTCGCCCGGAAACCATAAAAATAATAATAATAAACTCTTTATTGAGCAAAATAGAAATGTATACAATGAGTATTTATACAGAATGTGCATACACAAAAGGCGCCCTTATAGCTAAAAGCAATCTCTTACAGACAAGATGGCAACTATCTTGATTAGTTCTTGTGAAATTCATCACAATGGCCTGGCCTGCTTTTTTATCTTCACCTATCTTTCCTCATTGGTGTTCTATTAGAGTATACCGATAGCGCTTCCAAGGTTTTTTTTAATGGGTGAAAATGGTATGGTATGGTATGATATGGTAACCCCACCTGCGCTAACGGGATACGCTGGCAGAGCACCAGTGAAGGGAGATAGATGAGAATGTAAACAGGCCAGTTAGCCCATTATGATGAATTCATCAGGAATTAACCATGATAGTTTCCAGGGAGAACCGCGAGGAGGTCGACCTGGTTGGGTATATTGCTAGCAATGGGATTCTCAGTCTCCACTACTAACAATCCCTTTCTCCCCAGCGCTTGCAAGGTTAACCTGCAAAGGTTTTTTCATCGCATTAAGTCCCAATTGTGTATTTAAAATAGTACTATTATTATATTATTATAACAGCTGTTAACTGTCCGCTGCTGGACTTAAGCCTCCCCCACAAGGATGATATTGCTGATAGTTGCTACACTTGGTAGGCAAGTTTTTCTTAGTTTTTGGTAATAAAAAAAATTCTAAAAAAAAAAACAATTAATTAATACTAATTTTAAGGGATGTACTTTCATTATCAATAAAATATTACAATTATTCGTATAGGTACTTCACGAATAAAATTACGAAAGATCATTTACCATCTCCTCCTTTTTAAAGTTGGTTGAATGTAGTAAGTATATTATAATTAGTGAATTAAAATTGAAATAATCTTTTTTTTTTCTTTACAGTTCCTGTTGTGGGGATAATTTCACAAGGATCTCAAGTGGTACAAAGACCTCTTATAAATAAACAAATTTTGCCAAATGAGCAAGGTAAATTTATTGTTAAAGTATTCACTTAATATTTTTCTTGCGTTACTTCTTTGGTATGTGAAACGAGTTCATTGTAACAACAAATATAAACAAGTAAGTTGGTTGGTCTCTAAACGAAAATAGACACGACCTACTAGATGGCGTTAGAATCGAGATTTGTAGTTGTTATTGATTATTTTGTAATTAAAGATAATTTGAAGCAAAATTTCTAAATTTGCGGACGGTTATATTAATTTTTTGCCCATATAGTAATAATTTATTATCTTTTTTTTTCCTTATTCTCCTGAGTTGTAAAATAAAAAAATACACTATTAAAATAAGACGACGTTATATCACCGCTATCGAAATTAGTCTTCAAATTAGGACGATTATCGTTATTAATAAAATTTGAAATCAAGTTAATTACTTGATTTGATATCAAATTTTATAATAGAAAAAATGGGTTCGTTGATTTTTAGCGCCTAGACGGCTTAACTAAACGTCATGATAGTTTATATACACGTATTACTTTGAACGGAGAAAGACATAGGCTGCTTTTTATTCCGGTCAATAAACATATCCCGATAACGCGGACGATGTCCTAGATAAGCTTGTACCTAATTCATCTTTCATCATCGTCGTCATCATCATGATAGCTTTAAATTGGCCATTGCTAAATATAAGCTTCCCCCTTGAGGGGGTTTTGCCAGTAGTTGCCACGCTTGGTAGGCGGATTATCAACCGCAGTAAGCTTTTAGAGATTTCCTAAGAAGGGCGCTGCTAGCCATCCCTCGCCCTTCCTTAGTCGCCTCGTCTGGGTGTCGTACTGTCGAAATGGATGGGGTGGCCTATTCTATGCCGGGACCACACGGCCAGTACCTAATTGATACCTGTTAACTTTTATCCGCAATAGTAGCCTAGAAGAATACATTCGACGCTATGAAAAAAAACTGCTATTTTATTTAAATATTGTCCCTTATATATAATATTTTGTGCTCTTTTATGGCAGATTATGCTTATTTACTAACTGTTATCACCGGACTCTGTACTCAACGGTATTTCTTACTAATCAATATTTTATTCATCATACCTAATCGTTAATCGCATTTAGTAAAAAATAAATTAATATTAGAACGGGACTCCTAATATAATACAAATTAATATTTCAATATAATTTTTTAAACTCATTAAAGCCTAAATTATAAAACTCGCTATGTTAGGAAGTAATTTTCGTTTGAAGAAAAACTTACCAGTATTTTACAAGAACAGCTTGCTATATACTGTTGCGCTTTTATTACAGTTTTGTTTTGTTCAGTTGGATAACACTTGATTGCAGCAGGGAGACTTCTAAATCTAATCCCACGCCATATCATAAAATTTTTAAATTCATGTGTAGAAAATTTTAACAATGGTTACCAGAGGGAGACTTTGTACAAAAGTCGATTGCTTGGGTATCTCTGTCCCATTCGAGTTTCAATCATGAAGCAGTTGTTTGCATGGCTGTGTTTCGGTTTGAAGGATGGGATATGGGGTGAATTTACTGGGTACAGGGGAATAACACCTGAGTCCTCAGGAACGGCAACGCATGGGGGATACCATGAGCGAGACAGTATACTCTGTTATTTCCATGGTACTGCTCATGTTTATAGGCGACAGTTACCACTTTCCATCAGGTGGGCCGTCAGCTTGTTTGCCATTCTAAATTGTATAAAAAAAACTTTGTGCTTTGGAGGCCATTTAAAGTTATTATCCAGGTTGGTATGTTAGAGGTCTTCGTTAATGACAAAGGCAGCCTAGAAACTCTTGAATTCAGAGGGCGACACTCTCATACGAGTACTATATGTTGAAATTATTTTTTCATCAGAGGGAATAACCGTGTGAATTGTTATTTCCTATTACAATTTATCGACAGGAAAATTACTCCAAGTGTGATAAATTTTAACATTTACAAGAGCATCAACATATGTGCAATCTTTGTTTCTCCTTTATTTTATCTTTGATATTGAAACAATGAGTGCTAATGGACAACCGATATAATTTTACGTTATATAAACAACGAATAAAAAGAACTGGCAAACTATGAGTAATTTTTACCTACTCATGGTAGTTATCACTTTATATTTTTCTATATTTCCTGTTGTATTTTTATTATGAATAATGATATGATTTCAACATACGAAGAGAAAGGAAACATCTAATATTTACCAGAGGGTGACTTTGTACAAAAATTGATTGCTTGGATACCTCTGTCCCATTCATGTTTCAACCGTAAAGCAGTTGTGTCGTTGTGTTTGCATGGCTGTGTTTCGGTTTGAAGGGTGAGATATGGCGTGAATTTACTGGGTACGGAAGAATAACACCTCAGTCCTCAGGAATAGTAACGCATGGGGGTATCATGGGCGAAACAGTATACTCTGTTATGTCCATGGTACTGCTCATGTCTATAGGCGACAGTTACCACTTTCCACCACTTTCCATCATCACATTTCATCCATATATTCGTTTATTTATTTATACACTCTTTATTGCACCGCTTAAAGAATAATACAATAAAATATATGTATATTACACATATGAAGTACAAAAGGCGGTCTTATCGCTAAAACAATTTCTTCCAGACGGCCTTTGGGTAGAGGAGAAAAGGAATAGACGGAAAATATAATTACTTTATATGAGTACAATTGTAAACAATAACTATTATTTGTATTATGGACCATATTTATTATAATTTAATATATATTTTTATCCTAATTTACACAAGAAAGCAGCGTATACAAAACGAAATAATGAACTTACAGAAATTATCTAATAGATTCGTATCTAGTTAATTTTAAACTTTCGCGTTGTTTACAGAGTTTACACATATTTAAATACACTATCGGGACTTAAGATGATAAAAGATTTTTCAGATATCTGTTTTTTTTATACCACCGAGATGGCAAACAAGCATACGGCCTACCTGATGGTCAGTGGTTACCGTAATCTATGAACACCTGCAATACCAGAGGTATTACGCGTGCGTTGCCGACCCTGAAGAAACCTCTTTACCCCCCTTTTGAAGAACCCCATGCTGTAGTCTCTTGGAAAAACCTCGGCAGGGAGCTCATTCCACAACCTGAGTGTTCGTGGGAGGAAACATCTCTGAAATCGCGCAGTACGCGATCATTGAGGCTGTAGGACATGAGGATGAACTCTCTGTCGATGGCGAGCCGTACGATGGTAGAAAGTGGCGACTTTTCGACGTGAATTGCACAACATCGTGGACATGACAGCAAAATTTTTCACAACGCTAAGTCCCGATAGTGTATTTAAATATGTATAAACAACGCGAAAGTAAATAGATTCATATCTAATATTTCTATTACTGGTATGTATTATTATCTGGTATGAAAAACACAACAAAAACAAACAAATAATATTTTTTTCTTTTTTACTTATAAACAAACATGTTTATAAAGTAACTCGTATCTTTTTTTCTGTTTTTCCAGGTAAAATATACAGTGTATTGGGAGCATTAGAATCAGCAACGCAAACTATATCATCACCCCTTTATTCTTTACTCTATAGCAGAACTGTATCAACAATGCCCGACGCCTGGTTACTACCGGGTATTGGCATTGCTATACTACAAGTACTTGCATATTTATCTTCCAAAAGATTAGCAGCTACAACAATAGAAAACAATGTAGCTGAAACAAAAAGTATACAGTTAAAAACACCGAACGATGCCAGTAAATTAAGAAAAGATGACGAACCTGATGAAAGTAGAAGTCTTAAAATTGAATCCCATGATAAAAATACAACGACTATTTCCGAAAAATAATTAATAAAGTACTTTAGATATTAAAATATTTTTTTTTTTTATTGATGCCCCTATCGTAATAATTACATATATCATAGAGTAACAGCTACTTTCAAAGAAGAAATTATTAAATAGTTCGTATTTTTTCATATATATATATATATATATATATATATATATATATGCATGTATATATACTTTATTATTCAGACTACAATTTGGTTAGTAGCAATTTTCTTACAAACTATGTTAGTAAAAAAGAAAAGCAGCCGACTAGATCAGCATCTGAATGAAATGCCCAATTATAGGCGAGTTATATTTCTCAGTGAGGCCGCACGCAGCACGGACTAACTGCACGCAGGCCTCACTTAGTGAGGTCATTAAGATGATCATTCGATCAGTGGAACAAAATGTACTTGTTCAAGTTATTCTACGCGTTGTTTTCTGCTATCCTAAAGTCCTAGTAACTGGAAATAAAATCAAATGTGCACATTATTACTCTTTAGCGGTTCATAGGTATATTTAGATGTTACTAAAAAACAATATAAATGAAGTAAACAGGTGGAAATAATCTTATCGGATTTCCGTATGATCCTCATATTTTATTAACTTATCATAATACTTTTAATAACGTCACTTTTAGTATATTTATTTTTAGAACAAATAAAGTAAAAGTATCTTATTCTAAAAATAGACTCATGTTATTATATGGTAATGGTAATATCAGTAGTTCTTACTTATGTAGGAACTATTTTATTCAAGTTGATTTATATTTTACCACTAAATGTGAATGTACGATATGTTTAAAAAATATCAGATATGAGTACGTACTTAATACTTCGTACTGGACATTACATTGATTATATTCTTATTATAGTTCATATCTATATCTTTGTATTTAATTATAATAATTTCAAGAAAAATGATACATCAAAAACACTGACTTGTCCTCAAATTAGATATCCTAGGCTCAATCATAGCATAAAAGTCCGGAAATATATAGTAATATAAGTATAATCTTATCAATATAATATTATTTTAGTTACACGATGTGCATGAGAGATATTTAAGGAAAATTAATATGGGGGATTTTAATAAGACCAATATATATATCAAAAAATTAAAAAAAAGTGGACTTAAAGCTGGTTATAAATAAATAAATAAATTTATAAAATAAGTAAGATGCAAACAATATACAAAAAAAGTAGTAAAAGGAGTAAAATGCAAAAAATATACAGAATGAAGTTATTAGCATCCTAAAGGGAGAATTCTGGGGGGAAGGGATTGTTATTAATGGGGTCAAATAGCCCCATTACTAGCAATATATCCTATTAGGTCGACCTCCACGTGGTTCCCCCTGGAAATCATCGTAAACAATTCTTGTTGAATTCGTCACGATGGGCTAACTGGCCTGCTTCATCCTCACCTATCATCCTTCACTGGTGCCCCGCCGGTGTATACCGATAGCGCGGGCGTGGTTACCATTCCATTATCACACATTAAAAAAAAAAGGGAGAATTCTGTCAACAAAGCTGAAAATTTTTACATTAGAAATATGGATCGAAAAACTACAAGAAAGTTTAATCATCCCATATTACAATTTGTTCACATGTTGTGTATGGATGGATGGTCATTTTGAATCTCTAATTCACGAAACTTTCATTCTATGTTTTACAGCAAAGGTAGATCTTAGTTTTCAGTACCGCTAATGATTTTGATTGAAATTGCAATGAATGCATATACAATATATGACAGAAAGAGAGAGAAAGAGAGAGAGCTGGAATATCTTGCACGGTATACTAAAGGTATACTTAAGTAGATTGTGTACTAAGCTATATAAATTACTATAGTTTTTAACTATCCCACAGGATCTTTTTTAATTTTCCGTGATTAAAAGCATCTGAAATGTCGACCGGGGATGTAAGGTACTATCATTTAAAATTTCATTTAAATCGTTTTAACAGTTTCGGAGATTAGCCCCTACAAGCAGACAGACAAAAAAACAAAAAAATTTAAACAAATCTGGATGTGTTCTATTTCACTTCAAACATCCCCCTGACTCGATATTTTGCGTTTTTTTTCTATGTACAGACATTCGACCTCTATAGTTTTATTATATGTATAGATGGACCCTGGTCCCTTAAATATTATTATAATAATTAATTATACTTTCAGACTAGTTTCTAAGTATATAGTTGAAAGCTAGGACATAGACTACCTGATTTACCTTTCAATATGCTTATGGAAATATCTAGAAACAGCAATTCACTAAAATTAAATTTATACTATATTATACGGTATATTTACTAGGCACATGTTTCATACATGTTTGCAACATCTTTTCCAATCTCGATAAAATTTTCAACATAATATTTAGGATTTCTGAAAGCTGATTTATGCATTTTAAAATATGTTTAAGTACTTATGAAAAAGAATGGCTGCAGATAATAATAAAATAACCATTAATATCTAGTCTATATACTTCCTTTATTTATTTATTAAAGTTTAATACACATGGATAACATAACCATACACGCCATATGGTGTTACATATCTTCCAATCGATGGTAGACAGGAATACCAGAAAATATAATTAACTGCAACGTAATAAGCAAATAAATAGAAAAACAAAAGCAATATAATAAAAAATAGTACTATATAAATAAAATACGTATAATAATTATATTATCTTCATTATATATATATATATAATATATAAAATAAATAATGTCAGACAAAAAACCACTCAGATACAAACAGCATTAGACAAAGCAAAAGTTTAAAACACTTTACGATTCTAGGGGTTCTAAATAAAAAGTACGTAGTTTATGCTTGAATGCCATTTGCTTGGGGCAAATCTAATGTCAAAGGATAAAGCATTTCAGTGCTCGATAGCCTGAATGGCAAAGAATTAGAGATAAAGCCAGTGTAGTGGACAGAAACACGGAGCAGGAGATTACTAGAAGATCGAAGATATCGGTAAAATTTTAGTATTAAATGACTTTGTCTTTTTAATATTCAGGTTATTGGGTTAAAAATGATTAGGCATATTATGACATATCTTTTGCGCAGTGACTGAAAATATGTGACTCACATGTTTATACGTTTAAACTAGTGTTTATTCGTTTCGCGAATAAAGTTCTGTTTTTTTTTTTACTAGGTATAAACATTTTATAACTAGGACATGTCCTTATCAGATTAACCGTAATAAGGTAAACATGATAGTCAGATTTATCAAACTCTAAGGATGATATTGATTCGTAATTCATGTCACAATAATTATTATTACTATAATGCGACCACCACATGATCTCCCCTGGAAAGCATCGTGTTGAATTCCAGGTGTATTCATCACAATGGACTAACTAATCTGTTTTTTCATTCTCACATATCCCTCACTGATGCCCCGCCAACGTATACCGTTAGCACAGGCAAAAATATGCTAGTTACTTAAACACGGACTCTTCTAATAATTTTATAATTTACTCTAATTAACAACAATTCTTCAACAATGATAAAGAACAATAGAAAAATAAAAGGTTAGGATAGGATACCTAAATACTGTCTCCATTCTAAGACGAAAAACATATTCATAAGCACAGTTGTCTTTTCTAAGTATCTATAAAAAGGAAAACAGAACTAAGTTTTACAATCAGTTGCAGTGATATTAAGCAAAATAATTCTAATAATAATAATAATATTAGTAGCTCGAGTCTGTTCACGAGCATGACGGAAGAGCGTCATTGATATGTTCAACAATATTTTAACATAATGACCCGCCCACAAATGTTAAAACGCTTTAAACGTAATGCGTAATGACGAAAGACACATGATTGTACATTGATATAACCTGTACAAGTCATAGATATAATCTATACATATACCTCCAACATTATCAGATATAATATTAATATAAATACGCATTGCAGTGGCAATTTAGTGCAGAGTATCGGTGTATACAATACAACAATACAGTGTTCTACGATTCAGCTCATAAAAAAACCTTAAATATTTTTTCCAAGTTAGTATAAAACCATATTGTTTATATTAAAGTAATTAAATATTTATAAAATTGTAATTTGTTATTTAACATCTTGTTTATTAATATTTATATATATATATATATATATATATATATATATATATATATATATATATATATATATATATATATATATATATATATATATAACTATGTAGGAAATAAGTTGTATTTTTAGTGAAGGACCAATTATTCAAAATTTTGAGAAGCTGAAAGGAATCAAAAAATAAAATGATAAGAATTTTAAATTTTATTTTAATTTTTATATAATTGTATAATTGTGTATTCAACGAATAGTATGTAATCGTATTATATCACAGTTTATAACATTTCTGTATTACAATTAAAATGTACGGAAACGTTATATTATTATTTGTTGTTATTGATGATAGAAATGTGATGCTTAAAACATAGATCACAACTATGAGTAAATCATTATTTTTTTTTAATTTTAAGTAATTTATATACAATTAAATTAATATTGTTATATTAATATAGTAAATCATAGTATAATTTAAAGAATCTTTAGTTAATATATGAAATTAACGAATTAATGTAATAATTTATTTATTTTTTTCTAGAATGCAACGTCCAATTTCATACAATGCCCAATTCGCCGTGCACACCAGTATTTCCACACAGGGTGGCTACAATCATCCCGGGAATCCTGCCTTTTGGAATGCAAGGGTGAATCAACCAACAACATGCTCCGGAGCCCCAGCAGGACCGATGTATCCTGCTCCTGTGCCTAATTATGGTTGTTTCATGTCAGCTGCTGCGATCAGGAAAATTTGCAACAACACCGCACCCCCATTTTATGACCATCGCAGTTTTTAAGAAGCTGAAGAAACAGTTTAAATACTGAATCTCTATCGAATACTTATTGTACCCTGTATATACATACTATGTTATATTACTAATATTGGTACATTATAGTTTGTAAGATAATCTATAATTACGTTATAATTGTTTAATAAATAAGAATAATACAAAATCTCATTGTTT